TACCGCACTTGTGATCCAAAACTGCTGCATCGTCCTCGACAAGCGCTTGTTCCCTGACAGGTTGAAGATCCCCAGCTACCTTGGTCGGCCTTGGAAGGCATACTCGAGGACCATCATCATGGATTCCACCATCGGCGACTTGATCAAACCGGAGGGATGGTTGCCATGGGATGGCGACCAGTTTTTGAAGACACTGTTCTATGCCGAATATGGCAACCGTGGGCCCGGTGCCGTGACCAGCGGCAGGGTGAATTGGCCTGGGTTTCATGTCATCAACAGGCAGACGGCCCAAGCGTACACAGTGAATTCCCTAATCCAAGGTCACCACCGGTGGATCAAGTATTCGGGCATACCCTATTTTGGTGGGTTTAAAAATTGATGTCCTTCCTATCTTGCATGCGTACACCCAATCTTGAGATATAAGATGTAAGAGACGTGTGGATATGATGATGAAAATAATAAAGCGAAAGACGGAGAGATTGAGAGGTGGGATCAACAAAATTTTCGGATAAATCTGTTGTTATATAACTTAATATTCAGTTAGTTATATTATCGACAATTTTTTATGATATGCTTATCAATATCTTTTTTGTCGTTCAATCTTTTTGATTTATGTCTAATTCTTTATCTTGATGTCGAATTTTTAGATTTAATATCTGATTTTTTTATATAATCCTTAAGTTTAATGTCTAATTCTTTGGCTTGTTATCTATTTCTTAGACTTAACATCTTATTTTCTGATATAACATCAAATTCTATAGCTTTACATCGGATTCCTTGGCTCAATATCTAAATCCTTGATTTAATGTTTCATATTCTGATTGTTTGCATCGTTAATCAAAAGTATTTTTTGTATCACCTATATAAAAAACACATTTGTACTGTATTCCTTTCTATTTCTTGTTTGGGTTTTTCAATCTTGCTTGTATAGTTGATCCTAATTATTTTGATTACTTGCTTCCCTTGATAACAATTCCTCACTATTTAGATGTTTCACTTAATTGAAGCATAAATTCCTTTAACAAATTTGTACTTTTATGATAGTAAATATTGTTTTCATTGATAATACTTTGTTCAAGGGAAAATATCATTGATATCTTGGTCAGCTTGACGTAATATGGACTCATATGTGCAAGACTGTCTGAAGTGTCTTTAAGGTGAAAACATCGTACTCCTAATGTGTCACCTACATGAAGATTGAGATCGAGAGATATTTTTCAATTGGTCCTTTCATTTCTCAAATTAGTAATTCGAGATCCCTAAGTATGGGTTCTAGTAGTTTAAAAGGAGTTTCTTGCATTGGGTTTAAGATATTATTTTAAACATTAGAGGATAAAAAAAGAGTTTATGATTGTCTTTCTCGTTATAATAGATGAAAATGATGCTTGTGATTGCCTTCCTTACTATAAAGGATGAGAAGAAAGTTTATGATTATCTTATGTATCATAATGGATACAAAGAAAGCTTAAGTTTGCCTATTTTGAATCTTCATCCATATAGACAGATGGGTAGAGGGTGATTGAGATCTTATGTGGTGATCACATGTTGACATTGTATTCCCTATCATTTGTCCTCTCTCAAAAGTATCCTTCGGGGTTCTTGTGAGAGAGGCTCAAAGTGTATTATTTAGTTCATTCATTATGGGAGCATTCGAGATTTCCTCTTGCAAGTTAAGCTTTTTTGACTCACACATCTTGGGCATATTTCACCCTATGCTTCTGCTATAGCAAATTTCTACTAGCATAGGTCGGGTTTTCCTAACTTATATGCTTCGAGCACAATTCATTCTATGCCTCCATCGTAGCGAATTTCTTTACGTGAGACAGATTTTTCTTGCTTATGTGTCTTAGGCACATTGGCCTTCAACCTCTGCCATAATAGATTTCTTCATGGGGGTCGAGTTTTTATGACTCATGCATCTTGGGCACATTTTGCTTTATGCTTCTGCTATATTGAATTTCTACTAGCGTAGGTCGAGTTTTCCCAACTCACATACCTCGAGTATATTTCGTCATGTGCATCTGCCATAGTAAATTTCTTTATGTGGGTTAGGTTTTCTTGACTCATACATCTTAAGCACATTGGCTTGTGCCTCCATCTTAGCGAACTTCTTCACGCAAGTCAGGTTTTCCCGACTCATGCATCTTTGGCATGTTAGCCTTTTGTCTCTGCCGTAGCAATTTTTTTTTCTTACGCGGGTCGAGTTTTCCTAACTCATGCGTCCTAGGCACATTAGCCTTGTGTCTCCACTATAGTAGATTTCATCTCGTCTGAGTCAGGTTTTTCTGATTCATGCATCTCAAGTAAATTGGCCTTGTGCCTCCACCGTGACGGATTTCTTCTCATAGGGGTTCGGTTTTCTCAACTGAAGTGTTTTGGGCACATTAGTCTTATGCCTCCACCACGGTGGATTTCTTCATGTGGATTAGGTTTGTCTGACTTATGTGTCTTGGGCACTTTGGCCTTATGCTTCTGTCATAGATGATTTTTCTTCAAGCAGGTCGAGTTTTCTCGACTCAAGCATCTCAGGCACAATTGGCCTTGTGCCTCTATTATAGTGGATTTCTCTTCATGTAGGTCAGTTTTTCTTGACTTATATGTCTTGTGTACATTTGGCCTTACTCCTTCGCCATGGTAAATTTCTCTTCACATAGGTTAGATTTTTTCAACTCGTGTGTCTCGAGCATATTTGGCCTCACGCTTCTATTGTAGTGGATTTCTTTTCATGCAGGTCAAGTATTTTCAACTCACATATCTCGGGCGTATTTGGTCTTGTGCCTCTACTATAACATATTATTTTTCACGTAGGTCAAGTTTTCCTAACTCACATATCTCTGGCGTATTTGGCCTCATACATTCGTCATGGTAGATATATCTTAGTGTGGCCTCGTGCCTCCATCATAGCGGATTTTTCTTCACGTAGATTAGGCTTTCTTGACTTTAATGTCTCTAGCACATTGGCCTTGTACCTCACTCATGGCGGATTTCTTCATGTTGGTTGAGTTTTTCTGACTCATGTATCCCAGACATGTTGGCCTTGTGCCTCCGTTATAGTAGATTTTTCTTCACATGAGTTGGGTTTTCCCAACTCATGTGTCTCGGGCACATTTGGCCTAGCACCTCTATTGTAGTAGATTTCTGGTCACATAAATCATGTTTTCTTGACTCACATGTCATGTGTGTATTTGGCCTTGCTTATTTGCCGTGGTGAATTTCTCTTCACGCAGGTCGGGTTTTCCCGACTCATATATCTCGGGCACATTTAGTCTTATGCCTCTGTTATAGCAGATTTCTCTTTACGGGGATCAGATTTTTTCAACTTTGAGTCTCAGGCACATTTGGCTTTACACCTCCATTATAGTGGATTTCTCCTCACGCGGGTCGGGTATTCTCAACTCACGTGTCTTGGGCAAATTTGGCATTATGCCTTTATCATATCAATTATTCTTCATGCGGGTTAGGTTTTCTGGACTCATGCATCTCGGGCGCATTTGGCCTCATGCCTCCATTGTGGCAAATATATCTTGGCATGGGTTGAGTTTCTAACTCACATGTCTCAAGCGTATTGGCCTTGCATCTTTGTCATAGCAGATTTCTCTTTACGTGGGCTGGGTATTTCTGACTCACATATCTCAGGCATATTTAGCCTTGCTACTCTACCATAGCTAAGTATTCTACATATAGGTTGGGTTTTCTTGACTCATGCATCTCAGGTGCATTTGGCCTCATGCCTCCACCGTGGCGGATATATCTTGGCGCGGGTCAAGTTTCCCGACTCACATACCTTAAGCACATTTAGCCTTATGCCTCCGTCATAGCAGATTTCTCTTCACGCGGATTGGGTTTTCTTAACTCATGCATCTCAAGAACATTTTACCTCGCATCTTCATCATGGTGAATATTTCTTAGTGCGAATCAAGTTTATTGACTCACATGCCTCGGGCGCATTTAACCTTGCACCTCTGTCATAGTAGATTTTTCTTCACGCGGGCTTGGTTTTCTTGACTAATGCATCTCAGGCGTATTTGATCTTATGCCTCCACCATGACAGATACATCTTGGCGCAGGTCGAGTTTCCCAACTCACACGTCTCGAGTGTATTTAATCTCATGCCTCTGTCATGGTGGATATATCTTGGTGTGGGTCAAATTTCCTTACTCATACACCTCGGGCACATTTGGCCTTGTGCCTCTCTCATAACGGATTTATATTCATATAGGTCAGATTTTACTAACTCACATATCTTATTTGCATTTGGCATTGCACCTCCGTCATAGCGGATTTCTTTTCATGAAGGTTAGATTTTCTCGCTTCACGCATCTTTGGCTTATTTGGCCTTACGCCTCTACTATAATGAATTTCTCTCTACATGGGTCAGGTTTTCTAAACTCACACATCTCGGACGCATTTAGCATCGTGCCTCCGTCGTGACAGATATATCTTAGCGTGAGTTGGATTTCCTAACTCACATGTCTCGAGCATATTTGGTCTCGCATCTCCTCTATAATGGATATATCTTGGCGTGGGTCGGGTTTTCTGACTCACACGCCTTGGGTACTTTTGGCCTTGCGCCTCCGTCATAGTGGATTTCACTTCACGCGAGTTGAGTATTTTCGACTCACACATCTCAGGCGTATTTGACCTTGCAACTCTACTGTAGTATATTTCTCTTTATGTAGGCTAGGTTTTCTCGACTCGTTCATCTCGAGCACATTTGGCCTTATACCTTCGCCATCGTAGATTTCTCTTAATATGGGTCGGGTTTCCTTGACTTATGTCTTTTGAGTACATTTGGCCTTGGGCCCTCGTCATAGTGGATTTCTCTTCACGGGTTAAGTTTTCCTGACTCACGTGCCTCAGGCACATTTAGCTTCATGCATCCTTAATGGTAGATATCTCTTAGTGTGGGTCAAGTTTCTCGACTCACACGCCTTAAGCATATTTAGCCTTATACTTTTGTCATAGTAGATTTCCCTTCATGCATGTTAGGTTTTTCTGACTTATATGTCTTGGGCATATTTGTCCTCGCGCCTCTATCATGATAGATTTCTCTTCACAGGGGTCGAGCTTTCTCGACTCACACATCTCAGGCATATTTGGCCTTATGCCTTTGCCATAGTGATTTCTCTTTACACTGGTTGGATTTTCCCAACTCATATGTTTCAAGCGCATTTGGCCTTGCACCTTCATCGTAGCATATTCTCTTCAAGCGAGTCGAATTTTCTCGACTCCCACATGATGCAATTCACAAAGGCATTGATCAAGGTGGACTTGCTGGAGCCATTCGTCCTTAGCACCGTGGAGATATCCTCGTCCCTCATCTTGCCAAAGATGAAATTCAACATCGTTTAGATCCAGGAGATCGCCTCTAACATCCCAAGGTTGACGATGGGGTCAATGGTGGGGTCATTCTTATTTAAGTGCAACAACTTCTAGTGCTTTTTCATGTTGTATAAGAAATCGATGAAGATGAGGATGAAGGGGATAGAGGCGAAAGGCCAAGTGGTAGTCGGCATCACCTCCAGGGGTGAAGTCATTAAGCTCGAGGACATGGTGCTCTGGGGAGGCATAGCCATCGTTCTCGATGGTGTTGCCATTGTGAGCATTGCCGACGCACTTGATGAGCTAATCGAGGGTGATGTACTTTCCATCGTCTTGATTGATGTTAGCTCGGGGCTATGGTGGCCGAGTAGGCTATCATGGTCAATATCGTCTATCTCTACCATCGAGAAGGATCGTTGGTCAAACTAGAATATCCTATCCACAAACTAGACATGGTATTACTTTGCTATCCCCTTTTATCTTGTTAGGGTTTTTTGTTGGCTGCCAGTACTGATGACGGTTGAGTTGCTGATTGTGGTTGAGATAGTAGCCTCACTTATTAGGGTAGCTAGGGCAAGAGCGGAATAACAGTTTGCATCACTCTCATTAATGTTTGCACCTACTGGGTGAGGTATAGGAACATCTCAACGAGGACAAGCAGGTGGCTCGGGGTTGCCTTCGGGGGCGAGAGGCCTGGGTCGTTGAGCAGACACCCGTGTCACAATAGTATTTAAGCCAAGGTGGATACATCCATATATAGAAACAGCCTCCTCGCTCGAGCGTTCATTGAGAAGGTTGGTAGGCAGACGTTCTTGCGACATCGGACCCTTCCTCTAGTATCAAAATATCAGGAGAAAATATTATTGACATCTTGATCAACCCGATGTGATCCGAACCCGTATGTTCTAGACTATCCGAAGTATCTCCAAGGTGAAATTTTCGTGCTCCCCAAGTATCACCTATATGAAAATCGAGATCGAGAGATGTTTTCTGACTCAATCCCTTCGACCTAATACGGGAATTTGTGGGTTCAAAATGTTCAAAATGAGTCTCTTACAATGGATTTAAGATATATTTTTATATCTTAGAGGATGAAAAAGGAGTTTGTGAAAATAGTCTCTTACATTGGAAGATATCTTTTTATGCCTTGAGAGGATAAAAAAAAGTTTGTAAATTTTATGTCTTAAGAGGACACGAGATTGTGTTTACCTGCTTTGGATTTTAAAACTCATAAATCAATTACCTTCGTTATC